ATCTTCCCAATGATCACAAGTGTAAGGAGTATTCTTCCCATTGACCATCACACTAATGGATCATAAATTATAGATATAAAGGAGGTAAATCTTCCCAATGATCACAAGTGTAAGGAGCATTCTTCCCATTGACCATCACACTAATGGATCATAAATTATAGATATAAAGGAGGTAAATCTTCCCAATGATCACAAGTGTAAGGAGCATTCTTCCCATTGACCATCACACTAATGGATCATAAATTATAGATATAAAGGAGGTAAATCTTCCCAATGATCACAAGTGTAAGGAGCATTCTTCCCACTGACCATCACACTAATGGATCATGATTTGTAGATATAGTAATTTTTTTAGCAGGGGTTCCCTGACACCCTAAAAAAATTATTTCAAGGATTCCCCTCAGCTGAAAAGGTTGTGTCCTCCATGTCTAATATGCCTTGTAGAAGAGATAACCTGCTGTGTACATTAAAACACATTCACAAGCAGGGGGTTAAGAATCATTTTTTTAATGAGGTGTAAATAAAACGCATGTCTTACATAGTTACTCTCATACAATAAAACATTTCTTTACAATTAGCTTGTCTGGTAACAGCTCAAAAAATGTATTAGAAAGAACTGACTGAAAAATATGCATTGCAATAACCTGCCTCCAGAAATAAAATACTACATCTCAAAGTACCATATTTTGAAACTGTAAAAGAAAATTTTAGGAGCTCATACACATTTGCATCAGAGCGCCCTTGCCATGCAGTATATCTCCTGTGTGGCTATTTGTATCTCACATCTAATTAACTTTCAATCAAGACATTTTTTTTTTTTCACCTCTCTCTGGTACTGCACGTGTTCAGAAATGCAGACCACAATAAAATAAGTGCAGAAAGGTCCAAGGTGCAGTTAACCATTCTGAGCATATGAAGATGCACTGAGCAGGCACTCCTCATTGAAAGATATTCAGATGTCGTGATGGAAGTAAAGACCTATGGCAAGAGTGTGGCTATTATGTTCTGTAATCTCATGCTTCAGGTCGATCTTTTTTTTTTTGTCTTCTGTTTAGATTCTGTTACATGCAAACCTTATTTCTCTGACTGAAAAAGTAAGCCTGAAGACAAGTGGGAGGAAAACCAGGCCATAAGGTACATTAACCTCAGAAAACAAGGCAATATTTCAGAGAATCCCCATCTAAATGCTTTGTTTCAGTATTGCTGTAAAGAAGAAGAAACACATGCAGAACTGGTAGACTCCCAAGAAAGGCCGCCAATGTTTGTTACTATTACAGTACATTTGGCTTTGGATGCTTGTTCCTCTTCTTCTTCAAGGGGCACTCTAAACCGCTGCATGCAGCTCTAAGCCAATGTAACAATTTGTATTAAATGAAAAATATGATGCCGTGGGCCAGCATTTTAAGTTTAGAAGCAAACGTTTTAGCATGTGGTTACTATTGATATATTACAAATAATCATTTTATACAGGGTATACCCATGGCATGGAATTCACAGAAACATTAAAGCAGCGTTCCAGCTGAAAAAAAAAAAAAAATACGTCAGCAGCTACAAAGACTGTAGCTGCTGACTTTTAAAATACAGCCACTTACCTGTCCCTCAGTCCAGCGATGTCCTCACCACCGCTGGTTTCACCGGCTGTCTTCTCTCCCTGGTGCCAGCATCTTCAGTGTGGACACCAGGCTGTGACAGCTTCAGGCTTCACAGCTGGGTGCCCACTGCGCATGCGTGAGAAGTGCTGCGCTTTGTGAATGGCCCTGTAGTCTTCCGGGACCTCTCACGTGTCCCAGAAGACTATAGGGAGGGAGGGGGGGGGGAGGACAACTTCCGCTTCCGTTCGCTTAGGCAAATTAAAATTCGGGTACCCGTCTCCCCCCCCAGCTCCCCAAAAGTGCCAATGCTTAATGGGGAGTAGGGGACAAAGGCTTAAAGCGGAACTTCCCCTTTTGGGTGGAGCTCTGCTTCAAGGCCCCGTTCACCCTTGCTAATGAGGCCATTTGAAATTAGCTATTTGCAGGAAACCCTTTCTGGGTCTCCTAAATCTAACGGCAAGAAACCCCATTGGACAAAATGGGAGGCTAACATCTCCTGCAACTATTCATGGCTGATTGCCTGTACATGCTCACCATGAATGAGTGGCCCTGATGCAGACTGATCAATCACAGGTAATTACTGATAAGAAATGACATGCAAGCAGTCACAAACAGCTGTGGGAGCTATCAGCCATCCAATGCTTTCAAAGATGCTTCCTGCCCACAGCTAATTGCAGGGAAACCCTACTGGGTCTCCTGCATCTAATCGCAAAGTGCCCCATTCACAAGTAGGAATTGGGCCTCATGGGTATGCTTTCAGGCACTAATAGAAACCAGGACAGGCCACTTGACCTCCGGAAGATTTACCCCCCTTCTTGACCAGGCCATTGTTTGCAATATTGCGCTGTGTTACTTTAACTGACAACTGCACGGTCATGAGACACTGTACATAAATGAGATTTGTGTAATTTTTTTCCCACAACAAATAGAGCTTTCTTATAGTGATATTTGATCACCTCTGCGGTTTTTATTTTTTTGCGCTATAAATGAAAAACACTGACATTAACAAAAATTTTTTTTTAACTTTCTGCTATAAAACCTATTCAATAAAAAAATGTAAAAAATCAAATTTGTTAATAAATTTAGGACAAAATGTATTCTGCTACATATGTACAATAAGCGTATATTGATTGGTTTACTCAAAAATTATAGTGTCTACAAATGGCGGTATATTTACTGGAATTCTTTTTATACTAATATTGATGGCGATCAGCGACTTATAGCAGGACTGCAATATTGCAGCGGACAATACCAAATGACACTTTGTAGGAACCAGTGACGCTAATACAGTGATTAGTGCTAAAAATATACACTGCCACTATATTAATGACACTGGGTGGGAAGGGGTTAAACCTCTAGGGAAATCAAAGGGTTAATCATGTGCCTAGCCAGTGTTTTTGTGTGCACAGTGTGCTATTTTACTTGGCAATCTGCTAGATTTTATTCCCTGAATAAAATTTAGCAGATCGTTATCATACCGCAGCTCTGCCTTGTTTACATTAGGCAGAGCTGTGTTCTGTCGGTCTCCTCAGCAATCAACAGGTGTCGGTGCTTATCTGTTAGCCGGAACCTGTTAATCATCCAATCACAACAAAAGCGGTGGCAGGCGTGCGCCCCCCAGTGGCGGAAGTGCACAATCATGTTTATATACGTGATTTGACACAGAACATCCGCCTTGTAGCAGTAAAACTGCTATGGGGTGAGGGCAGTTAAACAGAACAGACAGGGTAGAAGAGGAGTCAAGTGCTCGGCTACAGTTTTGTGTAAGTTTCAGCTTGAGATACTGAGTTCTGTAAACAGGCTGTTATTAGCATAGCAAGCAAGGAGAAAATTTTTTATATATATATATATATATATATATATATATATATATATATATATATATATATAAATCTCCCGACAAAAAAAGTACTGGGCCTTAATAAAAAAAAAATATATATATACTTAATACTTTTTCCCCCCCACATGTGAGTTTACCAGAACTAATGCAGCCCCTTAAAAGTGATCCTATAACATTCAGCATACCATTGCGATGAAGATTTACTAAATGCATGTTCTGCAGCTTCCAGGTTTTGCTGGTTTTATCAGGCACCAAGGTTCCTGAAGATCATTCTATCTCCATGCAGCTCATTCTGTTCACAGGGTGGAGTACCACCCTGAAGCTAAGGAGTGTTCTGAGGTCACTGTAATGTATGCAAAACCTTCTCCTCCCTCACAGCAATACTACAGTGAGAATCATGGATGAAGAACTTACTAACCCACAATAATGTGTGTATATAAAATGTTTTATTGAGTGCATGTATGATGATGCGTGCTTCACTGTCCACACGAGAGTATGAACACAGCAAAGTGTGCATGTATTTTAAGATGTGCTCATATTCTTTCTCAGCAAAATGTACAGTAATTCACCTCTGTCTAGCATATGTTAGCCATTTACAATTTAGTTGCCTCTTGTGTCCTTATATCACTAGGAAGAACACAGGAAACTTTAAAGGCTCTTGCACTTAAACAGTGATGATATGAATAAAGCCAGAACAGACACCACATTGAGTCATATTATCAGTGTTCAAGGCACAATCTTACACTTAGAATGACAAATGACATATCAACAAAATGTAGCTATGTACAAAGCAAGAATGGAGAAAACAATATTCCAAATACATTTTAAAGATTTCGTTAAGAAATTGGCTATCTGGATAAAATATTTTTTTATTAATTAGAATATATTCCATTATGAAAAATGGTGCTGGTAAAACAACTATTGAAGAGAATGTTTTTTACAATTGTATTTTCTCATAGAATATATTGTGAACCCCAAACAAATAAATGCTAATGCTAAACAGGAATTTTGCTAACTGTGGCATATAATATAGGTTTGTTTTGAAGAACATAAAAAAATGGGTAAGAAGATGGAAGATCAACAGCCAACCTTTTTACTGAATTGTGCCAGTGGAAGCCACTCTCACTAGAAAGGAATGAAGCAAACTAGTTTACTTACTAAAAGGGATGAGCTCAGACGTTGTTTGGATCTTAGTGCAAACTGGCCTGAGCTATTCCACTAGGAACGTGGTGGCTGCTCCCCACCAATCATAAGTGGATAAGGCATTTCCCACCTACCAACCACAGGTATAAATGGGGTGTATATATGTGTCGCTACAGGCTGGGGTTACAAATGATTGTTGGGGCACAGTGACAGCTTCCTGGCAGGATAGTTTGCACTAGGATCCAAATTCATCTGAGCTCCCACTGTTTAAAACCTTGATGCAAAAAAAAAAAACAAACAATCCTGAACGGTATCCCGAACCAATCAGTAGAAACCCACTATTATTGTACATTAAACTGCTAAAGCCCAATAACTGATTGGTTGGTGGGAGACACAGTACTTTATTTCTGTTTCCACTGACTCAATTAACCCCTTGGCGCTGGCGTCTCCCGGCCCTTTTAGGGTTCCAGAAGCCGGGCAGGGTCTTAGGGTCATGTGACCGTCGTGATTCGCGGTCACATGATCGGAAAAGGTCCAGATCGCAAGAGGAGATCGGGACCTTTCCGTGAGTACCGAACGTGTGTGCTGGGAGCGCACGCGCTCTCAGCACGGGGTTTTTTTTTTATGTCTGTAATAGAACGCAAATGTGCGGCCGCTCGGGATCTAGGCTGGGAGGCCGCACATTTGCGTTTGGCCGGTGCCAAAAGGTTAAAGGCTTAGATATGAAATAAATGTTAACAAGAACAGTTCTTATTGCCCATAGCCACCAATAAAAGGTTTGCAATGCAGACATGACATCTGGAAGCTAAATGGTTGTTATTGGCAGCACTAAATGTTCTTGTTAGCCGTGTTTCATCAAAGCCTCCGAGAAACATTCATCAAAGTCAAGGTACCCATAGACAGTAGGTAACAGTTCCCCAATCTGCTAGTTTTCAGCCAGATTAGAGGATAAACATAAGTGAAGCACTCGGGGACAGTCCCTTACAGAGGACCCAATTGGATAAAGCGGTCAGACACATTAGAAAAGTTTGTATAACTGTGATTGTTTTTCTTGACATAAGATGGGGTTGGGGACTGGCCTTTCCTTCGATTTCAAGTCTCCCCTGCTCTTTACCTTTGCTGAAACAGGAATGTTCTTCTGAAGCAAATATTCCTGTTTAGGTCACAAGCTATGTATATTTGGAATGTACATGCACGTCCAACCATTTCCTTATATAACTGGCCAGCTGAACACAGAAAAGTGTGACATTTCTGTTCTGTGTATATTTGTATGGTATGTTATTTAAAATATTAAATGACACTTATTTTATTATTTTGTAAATAACAAAATTGTGTTTTTCAGCATCTGCTAATTTTAGAAAACTTCACCTCTAGGGCTGATAGTCTCTAGTACCATAGAAATATTAACAAAAAAAGAATGTGTGTAACTTTACTTTTGTACAGCATGAGAATTCCCCCTCCATTAGAAAACAGAGTCACTATATAGACACTAGATGCAGCCACTGCTGTAGTGCCCAGCAGTAATTTTTTTTTTCCTTCCACCACAGGTTTGAGTCATGTATGGGCTGCTTAACCGCTTAGCGCCGGCGCCTGCCGGCCCTTTAAGGGTTTCAGAAGCCAAGCGGGACGGAGTTTACAGCATGTGAAAGGTCCCGATCAAAAGAGGAGATTGGGACCTTTCCGTGAGTACCGGACATGTGTGCTGTGTGCTGTGCTGGGAGCGCGCTCTCAGCACATATGTTCTTTTTTAATAGAATGCAAAAGTACGGCCGCTCTGCGTCTAAGCCCAGATGTCGGGAGGCCGCACATTTGCGTTCAGCCGGCGTGAAGAGGTTAAGGCAAACAAATCCAACCTGTGTAACAACCATGGCTGCCCCATCTTATGGATAGAAAGAGACAGGGAACACAGTATGTTATTTACAGCATTTACCTGGTGAAAAAAAAAAAATGGTCACAAGATTAACTTGGTGGGAAAGGTAATTCTGACATTTGTATGAAATATAAAGTTACACTAAAGGGCTTATTTACTACAACTGGAGAGTGCAAAATCTGGTACAATTCTGCATATAAACCAATCAGCTTCCAGGTTTTATTGCCAATGCTTAATTGAACAAGCTAAAGTTAGAAGCTGATTGGCTACTATGCACAGCTGCACCAGTTTTAGTAAATCTCCCCCTAAGTTTACTTTGCCACTAATAGTCCAAAAAACCCCCTCCATCCAACCCTACTAAAAGAGATCAACAAGTCAGGTAATTTGGTAAACTCACAGCTTTCTGTCTTTGAGATTGCGAGTTGCAGCAGTACCTAGGCTGTATTTTGCAAATTCCTTTACAGCAGCTAAAAATCAAGGGAAAGGATCAAACTGCTTTGTGTGTAATAACAATATGGCTGTCAGAAACAATTGAAGCAGAACCAAAATGTACCATGTCTGGGCAAATTTACTGTAAATTCTATCTTTCCCACCCACCCCCTTCAAACCCATTCACATTTTTTGAAACCATTGCCAAGCCTTATTTTTACTCATCTGAATCAGAATAGATCACGTGACCCTCCGCTGCTCCTGTTCAAGGAGTAAAGACTGGTGGTGCAGGCCCCACCAGCTGAAGCCTTCAAAAAAGCTGTGGGGTACCCACCAATGGACAGCCAATGGAAGGTGTCCACATCGCCAAACAGAAACATGGTAATCCAAAGAAGGATCCTACCACTCTAAAGTTCAGAAGAAAAGAAAACACTAGGGAACCTGTCCCACTGCTAGACCACAGATTCTGGTGAATATTTAGAGAATTTAGATTTTATAAAGATTTAGGCTTTCATTTTGATCGATGGAACAATTAGCTTCTGCTCTTTTTTATTTTATTTTGGGGATGCAGAGCCAGATGAATAATTGGTAATGGGTAAACTTAAAGCAACCTCTGATGTGAAAATCCAGCAAAATTAATTTTCTGTTGTCCACCTCCACACACTGAAACTCAGACTGCAGTAGTCTGCCTGAGTGACTGGGTTTGTTAAAAATTTTTGTTATTATTATGTGCTATGTACAGTAACCCCTAGCCATTAAGTTCACTTTATTAGAGTCAGATCACTGAAATGTCCAGATTAATAAATTGCTGTTGGCAAGTGCTTGCATATTGCTTTTTTGTCTCAATCAGTAGGTCCTTATGTGTCTGTCCCCAATTATTTAATGCAAAGGCAGACAGCAGTATTATGTGCAAGCTCCCATGGACAAAGATTAGGGAAAAAAACCTGCTTCATCCTGGATATTTGCAGATGGGATACGAAATTTTACACATAGGTGCCCCATTACCCTGCACCACCAAAACAAACTGATCTTTTTGGGTGTAGGTCATCTGTAGAAGACATTTCACAATAATGAACACATGTTGGGAAAGACAAGATGGAACACTTATAATGGTTGGCCCCTGTCCTGCAGGGTTGGTATTATGCTTGCATGCTAGTCTTGTATAAACCAAATATTTCCCCAGCATTTTTGTAAACCCCTGATAGATACATATTGCTTACCAAAATATATATATATATATATATATATATAGATAGATATATATATGCAAAATTAAACCATAACTTTAAGGCATCGTGTAAATGAACTGAATGCCACCCCCAACAAAATCACAAGTAGGCAGTCATCTAGAAATTCATTCACATGTTTAAGCAGTCTTCTGACACTCCTTGAGCAGCAAGCTCGGCAAGAACATTGTCCAGGTAGTTTGCGTCAGGGTAACCATGTCCAGTTATGTTTGAGGTCATTTCCGTCTTGTGATGGATTTCATTCCACACCACAGTGTCAGATTCACCCGTTGTGCTTGAAATGCCAATGGTGAATATCAATCGCCTGGCCCAGGCAACCTTTAGAAGCTCTAGTACCTATAAAAAAAAATGTAATGAGAAATGTGTTTAAAAAAAACTTACATTTTTACAAATTGACTAGTTACTATAATAATACTGTGTTTTTTTTTTTAATCAAGAAGTTTTTCTGAATCTTTTAGTAATTTCTCATATAGGGCAGATAATAGACTAACGTAGCTAAAACCAGACAAATACACAATACAATATTTTCACTAATAAGGAGAGAAAGGAGAGGAGAGAAAGCTGCAGCATTCCTGTTCAAATTGCATGCTGTTTTTTGCAGTGCAATCTACGTCCATATATTTTGTATCGACGCAAATTGCACTGCAAAGTATCGGTTTGGGTATCGGGAGCTTTTTCCACGATTATAAGTACTCATGAAAACACTCGGTATCGGCACAGATACAGATATCAGTGCATCCATAGTGCTAACAGTGTAGCGATCTGTTCAGTGGAATTGGTCTGGTGTGCAGTATATGGTATTTCCTTGACCATCACCCAATGGTGGTGTGGTTAACTAGGTTTCATTTGAGATTTGTGATCTGTGCAATTGCTCACAAGCTGTATCAGATGCTCTTTTTTTTTCTTCTTTAAATTAGACTCTTCCAGAATTAACGGTCGACATTACAAAGCCAATGATGGGGCAGCACAGTGGCAAAATGGTTAGCAGTTCCACCTGGCAGTACTAGGGTCATTGGTTCGAATCCCAACCACGTCACCACCTACCTAGATTTTGCATGTTCTCCCTGTGCCTGCGTGGAATTCCTCCAGGTACTCCAGTTTCCTCCCACACTCCAAAGACATGCTGGTAAGTTAATTGTATCCTGTCTAAATTGTCCCTAGTATGTGTATGTATGAATGTAAGTTAGGGACCTTAGATTGTACACCCCTTGAGGGTTAGGGACTGATGTGAATGTACAGTATATGTATGTAAAGAGCTGCGTAAATTGATGGCGCTATACAAGTACCTGTAATAAATAATAACGCTTACCAGTTGTATGTCCTTTTTATGGATTTACTTTTTAAATCTAGATTAGTTTTACAGTTAAGTTAACTGGTGCTGCTAACTTTAGCATCTAGGCTTCAATGAGTTCTGGGCACGAAAGGGTTAATTGTACACTTCTTGAGGGTTAGGGACTGATGTGAATGTACAATATACAGTCAGGTCCATAAATATTGGGACATCAACACGATTCTAACATTTTTGGCTCTATACACCACCACAATGGATTTAAAATGAAATGAACAAGATGTGCTTTAACTGCAGACTGTCAGCTTTAATTTGAGGGTATTTACATCCAAATCAGGTGAACGGTGTAGGAATTACAACAGTTTGCATATGTGCCTCCCACTTGTTAAGGGGCCAAAAGTAATGGGACAATTGGATTCTCAGCTGTTCCATGGCCAGGTGTGTGTTATTCCATCATTATCCCAATTATAATGAGCAGATAAAAGGTCCAGAGTTCATTTCAAGTGTGCTATTTGCATTTGGAATCTGTTGCTGTCAACTCTCAAGATGAGATCCAAAGAGCTGTCACTATCAGTGAAGCAAGCCATCATTAGGCTGAAAAAACAAAACACACCCATCAGAGAGATAGCAAAAACGTTAGGCGTGGCCAAAACAACTGTTTGAAACATTCTTAAAAAGATTGAACGCACCGGTGAGCTCAGCAACACCAAAGACCACGGAAAACAACTGTGGTGGATGACTGAAGAATTCTTTCCCAGGTGAAGAAAACACCCTTCACAACAGTTGGCCAGATCAAAAACACTCTCCAGGAGGTAGGTGTATGTGTGTCAAAGTCACCAATCAAGAGAAGACTTCACCAGAGTGAATACAGAGGGTTCACCACAAGACGTAAACCATTGGTGAGCCTCAAAAACAGGAAGGCCAGATTAGAGTTTGCCAAACGACATGTAAAAAAGCCTTCACAGTTCTGGAACAACATCCTATGGACAGATGAGACCAAGATCAACTTGTACCAGAGTGATGGGAAGAGAAGAGTATGGAGAAGACGAAAGGAACTGCTCATGATCCTAAGCATACCACCTCATCAGTGAAGCATGGTGGTGGTAGTGTCATGGCGTGGGCATGTATGCTGCCAATGGAACTGGTTCTCTTGTATTTATTGATGATGTGACTGCTGACAAAAGCAGCAGGATGAATTCTGAAGTGTTCCGGGCAATATTATCTGCTCATATTCATCCAAATGCTTCACAACTCATTGGATGCCGCTTCACAGTGCAGATGGACAATGACCCAAAGCATACTGCAAAAGCAACCAAAGAGTTTTTTAAGGGAAAGAAGTGGAATGTTATGCAATGACCAAGTCAATCAACTGACCTGAATCCGATTGAGCATGCATTTCACTTGCTGAAGACAAAACTGAAGGGAAAATGCCCCAAGAACAAGCAGGAACTGAAGACAGTTGCAGTAGAGGCCTGGCAGAGCATCACCAGGGATGAAACCCAGCGTCTGGTGATGTCTATGCGTTCCAGACTTCAGGCTGTAATTACTGCAAAGGATTTGCAACCAAGTATTAAAAAGTGAAAGTTTGATTTATGATTATTATTCTGTCCCATTACTTTTGGTCCCTTAACAAGTGGGAGGCACATATGAAAACTGTTGTAATTCCTACACCGTTCACCTGATTTGGATGTAAATACCCTCAAATTAAAGCTGACAGTCTGCAGTTAAAGCACATCTTGTTCGTTTCATTTTAAATCCATTGTGGTGGTGTATAGAGCCAAACATGCTAGAATTGTGTCGATGTCCCAATATTTATGGACCTGACTGTATATGTAAAGCGCTGCGTAAATTGAGGGCGCTATATAAGTACCTGAAATAAATAAAAAATGATGAGGTCATGCTCCTCAGATGAATTCTCCATCAACAAGTAAATGAGAAATCCAGCTACATGAAAGTGACACCTTTTGTAAGCACATGAGAGGAACAAGAGCACACAATTGGACTCTTGGGGGGACTTAAGTGGCCAATGGGTGAACCCGATATTTGTTATCAATCATCTATTCCCTTATAAAACCCTACACAGTCACTTTCAGTTGCTTTGCTAAGTCTCAGACCCTTTTTTACATTTTATGGAACAGGATGTCTTGAGGAGTAAGTGTTTTAAGGTATTTAACTGGTAAATGCTACTGATAGTCACTTTTCTGCTACAGGGCTTCTATCAAATAATGCAGTGTTTTCAAGCAGCCAGTAGGTGGCACCATTTATTCACACCAGCTAAACAATATAACAATACAAATTACATTTTAATAAACAGATCCAATTAAGGTGATTTAACCACTTGCCCTCCTGAGGATTTACCCCCCCCCCCCTTCTTGACCAGGCCATTTTTTGCGTTACGGCGCCGAGTTACTTTAACTGACAATTGCGCAGTCATGCAACACTGCACCCAAATGAAATGTACGTCCTTTTCCCCCACGAATAGAACTTTCTTTTGGTGGTGTTTGATCGCCTGTGTGTATTTTATTTTTTGAGCTGTTAAAAAAAAAAAAAAAAAAAGCGACAATTCTGAGAAAAAAAAACAATATTCTTGACTTTTTGCTATTTTGAGCATGTCCAGTAAAAAGATTTAAAAAATCTAATTTCCTCATAAATGTAGGCCAAAATGTATCCTGCTACATGTCTTTGCTAAAACAAAATCCTAATACATGTAAATGAATTGGTTTACGTGAAAGTTATAGCATTTACAAATTTTTTTTTGCTAGTAATGGTGGTGATCAGCGACACCAATACAGTGATCAGTGCTAATAAAAAGCACTGAAACTGTACTAATGGAACTGGGCAGGAAGGGGTTAAAATGTGGGACAATCAAAGGGTTAATTGTGTGCTGTGTGCCGTTTTAATAGGTGTGCTGTGTTAGTGTTTTACTGTAAGCACATTGCTTTGCATAGCTGTGCTATGCACAGCCATGCAAAGCAGTGTGCAGGAGCGGACAGGGGAGAGAACTGCTTTGTTTACAAACAGTTCTCCCCCCACCGTCAGAGATGCTTGGCAATCACCGGGCACGGGCGAGTAATCACAGGCCGGGACCCGGTGATTGTCAGACACGGCCATGAAGGGCGGCGCGGGTAAGGCGCGCGTGCCCCCTACCCAGAAATGCAAAATCACGTATATACAGTGAAGGAAATAAGTATTTGATCCCCTGCTGATTTTGAATGTTTGCCCACTCACAAAGAAATGATTCGTCTAAAAATCGAATGGTAGGTGTATTATAACACTGAGAGACAGAATAGCAACAAAAAATTCAAAAGAAATGCATGTCTAACAAATTATGCACTGATTTGCATGTTCATGAGGGAAATAAGTATTTGATCCCCTTCACAAAACATGACTTTGTGATTGCCAACAAGGGATTTGCCACCAAGTACTGAGGTCAGATGTTTCCTGTAGTTGGTCACCAGGTTTGCACACATCTCAGGAGGGATTTTGGCCCACTCCTCTTGGCAGATCCTCTCCAAGTCATTAAGGTTTGGTGGCTGATGTTTGGCAACTCGAACTTTCAGCTCCCTCCACAGATTTTCAAACGGATTAAGGGCCATAATGTGCTTCTTCTTGAGCCACTCCTTTGTTGCCTTGGCTGCGTGTTTTGGGTCATTGTCATGCTGGAACACCCATCCATGACCCATTTTCAATGCCCTGGCTCAGGGAAGAAGATTCTCACCCAAGATTTGATGGTACGTTGCCCTGTCCATTGCCCCTTTGATGCGGTGCAGTTGTTCTGTCCCCTTAGCAGAACCCCCCCCCCAAAGCAGAATGTTTCCACCACCATGTTTGACAGTTGGGATGGTGTTCTTGGGGTCATAGGCAACAATCCTCCTCCTCCAAAAACGGCGAGTTGAGTTTATGCCAAAGAGCTTGATTTTGGTATCATCTGACCACAACACTTCCAACCAGTCCTCCTCTGCATCATTCAGATGTTCAGTGGCAAACTTCAGACGGGCCTGGACATGTGCTTTCTTGAGCAGAGGGACCTTGCGGGCACTGCAGGATTTCAATCCTTGTCGGCGTAGTGTGTTACCAATTGTTTTCTTGGTGACTGTGGTCCCAGCTGCCTGGAGATCATTGACAAGATCCTCACTGTTCTCATGATCATTGACACTCCATGAGGTGAGATCTTGCATAGTGCACCAGACCTAGGGAGACTGACAGTTGTTTTGTGTTTCTTCCATTTGCGAATGATTGCACCAACTGTTGTCTCCTTCTCATCAAGCTGCTTGGCGATAGTTTGGTAGCCCAGTCCAGCCTTGTGTAGGTCTACAATCATGTCCCTGACATCCTTAGACAGCTCTTTGCCATGGTGGAGAGTTTGGAATCTGATGGTTTGATTGCTCCTGTGGACAAGTGTCTTTTATACAAATAACAAAAATGAGATTAGCAGCACTCCCTTTAAGAGACTGCATCTAATCTCAGCTTGTTACTTGTATGAAAGACATCTGGTAGCCAGAAATCTTGCTGAATGATAGGGGATCAAATACTTATTTCGCTCATGAACATGCAAATCAGTGCAGAATTTGTTAGACATGCATTTCTTTTGAATTTTTTAGTTGCTATTCTGTCTCTCAGTGTTACAACCATTAGATTTTTAGACTGATCATTTCTTTGTGAGTGGGCAAACATTCAAAATCAGCAGGGGATTAAATCCTTATTTCCTTCTGTGTATATATATATATATATATATATATATATATATATATATATATATATATATGTATGTGCTTTTGCGCACCCTTGCCGCCCTGTAGCAGTACTTCTGCTATAGGGCGAACGGGAAGCGGTAAAAGACAAATCCTGATAAGCTTTATTTACTGGCCACACAATATATCCTCATAACAGTTATAGAAACACAACACATCTTAACACACATATGTTTGACACTCCTCACCATGTCATAGCTTATGAGGCTTAAATCAGGAAAAAATGTTATGTGCTACCATGATACATTCATTACTTAGAGATTTGCATTCCAAATTAAACATTATCTGTTGCCTGGTAAATAGATATAAGATTTGTACTCTTTATAAAATCATTTTCTTAGAGTCCATTGAGGGAAATAAACCTTCAGGTTTACACTGCTGTATACTGAAGAAATGGACACTGTAAAAAAAAGTTAGCTAGCACAGGATAACGCCACCCACAACTAACAAGACTCATGACAGAATGATCATAAACAGCAAAGAGCGGGCAAATACAAAAATCCTATTTTATTTATCATTTTTTGAGGGACATGGGAAGTCCTAAACTTTCGGGATGTCCAAAACTGGAGGGGTGCACAAAACAGAAAAGAAATGCTAATGGGCCTAAGGAAAACATTAAAAAACTGTTACCTGCCAGTAGCTCAATGAACCTCAAGAGGAGCTTCTTGCCCAAAACTATAATCAGATGAGGCCTTAAAATCCATCTAGTAGAATACAGAAAAAGGTCAAACAAGCACTCAGATTCAGTAGAGAGTGCACTGATGGGAAAGGATAGAACCTTGGATAATCCTCTGACTGAACTATCAAGAGATGGTGGAATGAGAAGCTGGTGCACATTCATGGGGATCAACCCAGATGACAAAAAGGGAGTGTCTTTTTGAAGAAGGCAGACTATCACAGCCCAACACGGGAGGCAAATTTCCTTTTTGGTGATTTGAAGCCAAAGTAAAAAACAAAAAAAAAAAAAATGTCCTGGTTGAAGCAAATCTATATTAAGCTGGCCACACACTGATGGAAGTTTGGCCCATTCAGCAGGAATCGGCTGAATTTCGATCCATGTGTGGCCATCCCTACTTGGCAGAAACTGATTGTACTGCCTCAAGAAAGAAATTGCATTTTTAATTTTGGTGTTATACACACAAACTGGTCTGAAAAAGATTTTCCCCCAAAAAGGTCATAGATTCTACTGCTCAACCAGTGAGATGCAACATAACATGGGAAAGATGACATTAGCTCAGAAATGTTCCCAAGCTATGACAAGAAATGATTCCATAGAAAGGAAAACCTTCATAAGGTTCAATGTTACAATTTGCACATGAGGAACCAAGTCCTGCACTGAAAGTGTGATTGTTGTTGCAAAGTAACCCCTTACCAATCAAATAAACAATGCTAGAGAGAAGACCCAAAAAACTATCCCCCAACTCCCCAGATGTACTTACACAACCATGGGGTGAAAGGACCATGCCCCAGGGCAGGAAACATGCCAGGGGCAAGAGAAGTGTGACTAAATTCACTGCGGGTGGCAATAAGATAGTCCATAACAGGACTGTAGCCAATGACGTGTCAACTGAAAAAGATTAGAGACTACAGAATAAGCACTGGAAAAAAAGTCCAAGGAAGCTTAAGAACACATAAATCTAAAACAAAGACTATGGAAATAGCAGGGGCATGCATGATAGCTCTGCACCCCGCTGTGACATTACTGAACCTAAGAATGCCAGGAAGATGCGATGCAGCAGTGGTGGTTGTAGCAAATGAAAACAGTGCTCAGCTGCCACACAAAACACATCTAAGTTTCCTAGCTTAATAAAAAGCTGGATGAAATCCATATGAGAGTTAGAACTTTTTGGAGCTGCCTCATGAAATGCAGTTAGGTAAGGGGGGGGGCAGAAAAATAAACAGTAACAATTTACTAATGTGTGACCTGTTGTAGTATAATAAAGAGGAGGGCTCCCCAATGGGTCCAACTTTTGAAGTACTTAAAGCGGAGTTCCACATAAAAAAAAAATAAATAAATAAAAGTCAGCAGCTACAAAAACTGTAGCTGCTGACTTTTAAAATACAGCCACTTACCTGTCCCGGGGTCCAGTGGTGTCCTCACCTCCGCTGGTTTCACCGGCCATCTTCTCTCCCTGGCACTGGAATCTTCAGTGTGGGCACCCGGCTGTGACAACCTGCGGCTTCACAGCCGGATGCCCACTGCGCATGTGCGAGAAGTGCTGCGCTTTGTGAATGGGTGAATGGCCTTTTAGTCTTCTGGGACCTATCATGTGTCCCAGAAGACTACGGGGAGGGAGGGGGGGGGGGGGGGGGGAAGGACAACATCCGCTTCTGATCACCTAGGGAAGGTGCCAATCCTTAATGGGGACAAAGGCTTAAAGCGGAACATCCCCTTTTGGGTGAAGCTCTGCTTTAAGCAAGCCTAGAATAAAGGATACGTTAACCATCCCCAGTAAAAGGTCTGAAGTGTGACATAAGGGGTTGGGAAGTCATTGGGGAAAAACAGTAGGTGCTTCTTCTCTCTCATCTATGATGTCACCAAACCTGTCAGAAAAAAACCCAGGAAGGTGAAGGAGAAGATATGTAATTTTGGCTGCAGCTCCAGAAACAGTGGGCAGCCACCACACAAGTCACAAACAGAAGCTCTAGTTCAATAAAATGGAGGGTTTACCCCACTTGACACAGCAAGCATAGGGGGTGCTGCACTCCAAAGATGAGCAAACAGGGATAGGGACAATGAGAGCACTGCCATTGCTCTGGCCCATAGTAACACTGTACCAGAACCCTCAGAATAATGGACTGATATGTAGCAGAGTCCTGTGAAACTGGAACACCGATCGGGTATATCCAGCAGTGATACAGTGGTGTCACAGAAGGGGCACCAGTAGAAGCTGGGGAAAAACCTGTGCTCGTTGTTGGACTGCGAAGACTTGCAGGATTTTTCAGTTTAGGGCATTAATCTACCAGGACTCACTGGATTATTGAAGAGACTTCCAGGATTTCAGTATCTGTCAAAAATCTACCAGCAGCTAATAGAAAACAAACTTCCAGAGAACAAAAAACAGCGAAGCATGTTCACATTCTTGAGGAATCCAGCAAAAAATTGAGGCATGCTGGTAGTGGCCAGGGTTTTTGTGTGCTGGCTAACACACATTTCTCCTGTATATGGCAATGTAACCCCAAAGGGTTGAGCGTTCCTGTGCTGATCAATGAATTAAATTGAAGTATTGTATATCTACCTACACTTTTGCTTTTAGTTATATATGTATGTATTTAGTTATTTATGTTATGTATCATAGGTTGATCAAAGTCTGAGAAGACAGGTCAATCCAGCAGCGAAATGTTTCTGCAAGTTACTAGTTCCAGTTATCTGTTCCGGCTTCTGTGAGTTAATGTTATTCAATAAACAGAACAATATGCAGACATTTTTGGCTGAAAAATAAAACAAGCATGAATAAAAAAAAAAAAAAAAAACAATACTTGAAAGTAAAGCCTTGCAAGTAGGATTCTATCATTTAAACATGTTATTTTCACTTACCAATCTTCCTCTGTCATTGTCTGGAAGATAACAGTGGCGAGGAAAGCCCCGTGCTGAAAAAGGCCTTCCTGGGTTTGGGTGTTCTGGACCCTGTAGAAAGATGATGACACCAGATGTAAGAATGTCTAATTGTGTTATGACAGTACTCATCTACACACTATTGACGTCAGATCAGACAGCGACCTAGACCAGGAGTGGGGGCCTATGCAGGGTGGTTCTCCTGAAACTGGCAGGGCCGTGCTGTACTACATATGCTCATAATTTCCTTATAGATCTCACTGAAGAAAAGTACTCAGTCTTCTTGAAGGTCACGGGAAGACGGCCATTGCAGTACAGCTAATGAAGAAAGGTTGTGTTGGCCTGATGGATCTGTGAAAAACTGGCAAAGGTCACAACTCCAGGTCCACGTTACCAACTAATTGGAGGTCTGTACTGAGGTCTATTAATGATATGCAGAAAGAAATCGGGGACGTCAGTGTTAACTTAGAAATATACAGTCAGGTCCATAAATATTGGGACATCGACACAATTCTAACATTTTTGGCTCTATACACCACCACAATGGATTTGAAATGAAACAAACAAGATGTGCTTTAACTGCAGACTGTCAGCTTTAATTTGAGGGTATTTACATCCAAATCAGGTGAACGGTGTAGGAATTACAACAGTTTGCATATGTGCCTCCCATTTGTTAAGGGACCAAAAGTAATGGGACAGAATAATAATCATAAATCAAACTTTTTAATACTTGGTTGCAAATCCTTTGCAGTCAATTACAGCCTGAAGTCTAGAACGCAGACATCACCAGACGCTGGGTTTCATCCCTGGTGATGCTCTGCCAGGCCTCTACTGCAACTGTCTTCAGTTCTTGGGGAATTTTCCCTTCAGTTTTGTCTTCAGCAAGTGAAATGCCTGCTCAATCGGATTCAGGTCAGGTGATTGACTTGGCCATTGCATAACATTCCACTTCTTTCCCTTAAAAAACTCTTTGGTTGCTTTTGCAGTATGCTTTGGGTCATTGTCCATCTGCACTGTGAAGCGGCGTCCAATGAGTTCTGAAGCATTTGGCTGAATATGAGCAGATAATATTGCCCGAAACACTTCAGAATTCATCCTGCTGCTTTTGTCAGCAGTCACATCATCAATAAATACAAGAGAACCAGTTCCATTGGCAGCCATACATGCCCACGCCATGACACCATCACCACCATGCTTCACTGATGAGGTGGTATGCTTAGGGTCATGAGCAGTTCCTTTCCTTCTCCATACTCTTCTCTTTCCATCACTCTGGTACAAGTTGATCTTGGTCTCATCTGTCCATAGGATGTTGTTCCAGAACTGTGAAGGCTTTTTTAGATGTCGTTTGGCAAACTCTAATTTGGCCTTCCTGTTTTTGAGGCTCACCAATGGTTTACATCTTGTGGTGAACCCTCTGTATTCACTCTGGTGAAGTCCTCTCTTGATTGTTGACTTTGACACACATACACCTACCTCCTGGAGAGTGTTCTTGATCTGGCCAACTGTTGTGAAGGGTGTTTTCATCACCAGGGAAAGAATTCTTCGGTCATCCACCACAGTTGTTTTCCGTGCTCTTCCGGGTCTTTTGGTGTTGCTGAGCTCACCGGTGCGTTCCTTCTTTTTAAGAATGTTCCAAACAGTTGTTTTGGCCACCCCTAATGTTTTTGCTATCTCTCTGATGGGTTTGTTTTGTTTTTTCAGCCTAATGATGGCTTGCTTCACTGATAGTGACAGCTCTTTGGATCTCATCTTGAGAGTTGACAGCAACAGATTCCAAATGCAAATAGCACACTTGAAATGAACTCTGGACCTCTTATCTGCTCATTATAATTGGGATAATGAGGGAATAACACACACCTGGCCATGGACTAGCTGAGAAGCCAATTGTCCCATTACTTTTGGTCCCTTAACAAGTGGGAGGCACATATGCAAACTGTTGTAATTCCTACACTGTTCACCTGATTTGGATGTAAATACCCTCAAATTAAAGCTGACAGTCTGCAGTTAAAGCACATCTTGTTCGTTTCATTTCAAATCCATTGTGGTGGTGTATAGAGCCAAAAATGTTAGAATTGTGACGATGTCCCAATATTTATGGACCTGACTGTAGATATACATACAGTTGTGTTCAAAATAATCGCAGTCCAATATCACTAGTCAGATCAATCACTGTTTTTGATATAAGTTATACTTCTACATGGCAAATTATTTACTAGCAGGTGTAGTAGAGTAATAGAAAACCAAAAGACCCAACAGTCATGACATGCATGCTGCTGATTCTGTGTGATTGAATCCTTAATTGAAAGGGGCGCATTCAAAACATTAGCAGTGTGGAGTTCAATTGGTGAGGTCATTCAGTCTGTGAAAAAACAGGTGGCCCTTATTTAAGGACGAAGGCAGCAAATGTTGTACATGCTGGGTATAGTGCATTTCTCTCTAGAATGAGTCGTTCCAATCACTGTTCAGAAGAACAGAGTAGTTTGGTTAAAAGTTGATTGGAGAGGGGAAAACCTATCAACTGCAGAAACTGATAGGCTGCTCAGCTAAAATGATCTCAAATGCTTTACAATGGCAACCAAGCCAGAAAGACGTAGAAGAAAACTGAAAACTACCATTTAAATAGCCAAAATGGCAAAGACTCAGCCATTGATCAACTTCAAGATGATGAAAGAAGGTCTAAAGTTACCTGTGAGTTCTGTAACACCTATGTGAAGCCAAGCTATCAGCAAGAAGCCCCCGCAAAGTACCATTGATGAAAAAACGACATGTGCTGAACAGATTACAGATTGCCAAAGAACATATTGACTGGGCAAAAAAGAAATGGCGCAACATTTTGGGGACTGATGAAAGCAAAATTGTTTTTTTGGGTCTTGGGTCCATAGACAGTTTGTCAGATGACCTCCAAACACTGAATTCAGGCCACGGTATACTGTGAAGACTGTGAAGCAAGGTGGGGCAAGCATCATGATATGGGGATGTTTCTCATACTACGGTGTTGGGCCTATTTATCGCATACCTGGAATCATGGATCAGTTTGAATACATCAAAATACTGGAAGAGGTCATGTTGCCCTATGCCGACAAGCAAATGCTCTTGAAATGGGTGTTCCAACAAGACAACGACCCCAAACACACCAGTAAACGTGCAACATCTTAGTTCCAGACCAACAAGATTGACGTTATGGAGTGGCCAGCCCAATCCCCGAATCTTAATCCAATAGAAAACTTGTGGGGGGTGACATAAAAAATGCAGTTTCTGAAGTAAAACTCAGAAATGCAGAGGAACTGTGGAATGTAGTCCAATCATCCTGGGCTGGAATACCTGTTCACAGGTGCCAGAAGTTGGTTGACTCCATGCAACACAGATGTGAAGCACATCTCAGAAACAGTGCTTATACAACTAAATATTAGTTCAGTGATTCACAGGAAAGCAAAATCTTCAAACATTTTTCAGTTTATACAGTAAATATTTGAGTTTGTAAAGAAAAATGCAGACACTGCTATTTTTTTTGAACAGCCTAATATTCGATTTTCTTCACTTTCTCTAAAGTAACAACAAATTTGAAATATTTTTCTTCATGTTTTCATTTAGAATAGACTGTGCGGTGTTCCCAATGCATTTGCGTGTATGAAAATACAAGCTATTATAAGGATTTTGAGCTTTACTCACTTTTTTAAACACACTGCTATCATTTTGAACACAACTGCAAGTTCACCTTTAGGTAGCCAATAAAATTCTAATCAATTAAACTTCACATTTCCTGTGGCTTAAAATAAATAGTGCCACTTTGTCCATGCAGGGCTATCTGACAATATCTCTGGAAAGGGCTTCCATTCACCTCCCTGACCCCATATACTTACCTGTGCTTTCTTCTAGCTACTTGCTCCTCTGCAGCTGGAGAAAATATCCAGAATTTACAGGTATGGTGACGGTGCCCAGGTCTAGCAGCCAACTGCTAGGCCTTAAGCCCTTTCACATGACCAAGGGTGTGGGGTCATCAACACAGCTCATTTCAGTGCCGTGTGCAAGGACCAAGGAGCTGCAAAAAGTGCACAGGTAAGGTGTGTATATGGGAGTCGGAGAGGGCCCTTTTCAGAGACAGTCACCTTTGCCTGCAGCAGCGAGGTGACAGGGTCTCTTTAATATACCTATTTTTATGTTTTATATCTATTAAAAAAAAAAAAAAACAAAAAAAAAAAATAACAAAAAAAAAGTCTTTATCCTGAAAACAGAAGGATTGTGTTAAATGTGTCCATCAGCCAAACTGTGAAGACGGTTTTGAAGGAATAGTGGTTATGTATGAGTCATTAAAAGATGGGCAGATGTCTTATGTCTGGCTACAGTATTGTCTTCAGTTTTTAAACAGAGGCTTTGTCAATTTTTTTTGGCCTAATGAATTCTTAGTATGTTCAACCACACATTTTTATGGATTGGTGTCCTTAGCTGGACAGGTCATTAAGCTGAGAGTTAGGATCGCAAACCCAGTCTCTTTTCTGATACATTTTTCTTAAAAGGTGTTGTCCTACCTAAATATTTTAGTTAAAGATGGAGCCTGTTGGGATCAAGATAGTGCCTGGTTTAATATATGCTCTGGATACTACACCAGTGAAATAATGCCATATTCCTTGTCCACCTTTGTATATTAAAGTGTTTCTAAACCCACAACCGTAAAATCAGTCTGTATCTGCAGTAAAGCATGCTTGTTATATTCACTGTGGAACCTAAGGGGTTAATCCTCTGCATTGTGTAAAAACGCTGTTTGAACCTGACTTCTCTGATCTCTCATTCTTCCAGTGTCCCCCCTCTTATCTCCTGATAAGACATAACGTGTGGAGTCACTCTGCACATGCTCAGTTTGGTGTGTATTGCTAGAGAGTTGTTTTTTTTTTCTTGGGAGAGTGCATGTGATCAGCACAGGGCCAATCAGCGCTGTTCAGACAGAGGTCCTGCATCCTCCTACAGCAGAATGAAAACTCCTCCAGCAAGCTTTAACATGTGCTAGGCTGGACACTAATAGAAGTCCCAAGACTGCTCTAACTGCTGATGAGAAAAGGTATTTAGCAGTTTATATTTACTAAAATAATTGCACTTCAATGTTCTGTGTACTGTGGGAGACCGGATATAGTGAATACAGGGTCCTGGGTTTAGTAACACTTTAAAGCTTCTCCTGTTTCCATTGCCCATACAAAAAAAGTATTAAAAAAGGAGAGTGGAAGTCAAAATGAGAATAGCAGGTGTGCACACTTTGGAAATCAAGCACACAGACCTCACCACTAGAGTCTCCCCAAAAAGTTTTAGGCGGTTAAAGTATAACTAAATGCAAAACTTTTTTTTTTTTTGTATTGCATAGAGTGGAGAGGGATTAGAAAACCTATTAAGTTTTTATTGCTACCTCTACCCTCGTTAGGATGATTCACACTCTCTATTTGTCCTGTTTACCTTTATCATTGAGAGTGAAAGTGAAAGAAGATCAGGGTGGATATAAAAATCAATGATTTTTTTTTAAAAGTAAAAAAAATCTAATTTGCTTTATTTAAATCAGATTTTTTTTATTTTTATCAAATTTATTTTAATAAAATGCTTTTGGAGTAAAAATCTATCTAAAGATAGTTTTCTATTTAAGATACATTCATAATTTATTTTATTCAGCATGAAATGGAGCTTAGTTATGTAGCATGAGGCTGTATATTCTGCAATATTTACATGTTTGGTCAACTCATTCAATGAATCCAAGCTCTGCAAGCTGAGACAACATGCACTGCATTGATGCATTCACACAATTTCACAGTAACCATGAGAAAAAACATTACAGCTTATTTTTCTAAAAAGGAAACCTTCAGTTGGTTTGCAAATATTAAAGATTCTAACTACCAGCAAGAATGAGTTGGATTCCTTACATTTAACCACTAGCCTACAGGGCACTTATACCCCGTTCCTGCCCAGGCCAATTTCCAGCTTTCAGCGCTGTCGCACTTTGAATGACAATTGCGCGGTCAAACAACACTGTACCCATATTAAATTTTTATCATTTTTTTTGTGACAGATAGAGCTTTATTTTGGTGGTATTTAATCACCTTTGGGTTTTTTATTTTTTCTTAAACAAACGTCTTAAACAATGAGGCTGCACTGATAGGCTGCACTGATGGACACTGATAGGTGGCACTGATGGGCACTGATGAGGAGGCACTGGTAGGTGGCACTGATGGGCATTGACAGGCATCACTGATGGGCACTGAAAGGCAGCACCGATAGGCAGCACTGACAGGCACTATTAGGAGGCACTGCACTGACAGGCACTGATAGGTGGCACTGATTCGCAGCACTGGCTGGCACTGATGGGTGACACTGAAAGGCAGCTCAGATGGGCACTGATATGTGGCATTGATGAGCACTGGTAGGCACTGAGATGTGGCATTGATGTGGTACTGATGGGCACTGGCACGAGGCACTGATGAGCACTGACACAAGGCACTGATGGACACTGACAGGTGGCGCTGCTGGGGCTACACTGATCATCAGGGCACACTGATCATCAGTGCCCTGATGATCAGTGTACATGTCCCCTCCATGGAAAGCCGATTACTGGCTCTCCTCTCAAGCTGTCAGCGTGACAGCTCGAGAGGAGAGAAATGCCGATAACTGGCATTTCCGTTTTTACATGTGATCAACTGTGATTGGACACAGCTGATCACATGACTGAGCCGACTTCTTCGGCTCTTTCCATGATCGGTGATCCGCTGTGTCCAAGGGACACAGCGCTCCACCGATTGCCACCCTGAGCCGCGCATGCGCAGTGAGAATGGGAGGATGTCATATGACGTCCTCCCAGAACGAGAGAACCACCTTGCGTCCGTCATATTACTATATGGCGGGCGGGAGGTGGTTAAAGAGCACCTGTCATTTTAGATCTATCATGGCAGCGCCTGATAGATCTAAAATGACAGGGCATCCACTCACCTACTGCCGCCACATCCCTCACTTTGTTGTGTCCCTGCTGCATCACCAGCAGTCTCATTAAAGTGAATGGGACTGTTGGTGAGTCAACAGCGGGTAAGAGGAGGAGCCGCTGAGGGACAGAGATTACCATTGCTGTTTAAAAATTATGATTTAAATCGAGCCTTTTCACTAGTGATTTAAATCAAATCCACCCTGAAGAAAATCCTAAATTTTTGGGTTGTCCGCAGAAAAGTAATTGAGAGAAATCTTCCAGGGACACTAGTTCTGATAACCTGGGGGCCACCAGGGATTCTCTCAATTTGCAGGAATTTACGCTCACTTCCTGTTTTGGCTGTGTGGGACAGGAAGTGAAGGTAAATCTCCCCAATAGGATACAGATGGCAAAAAAAAAAAAATGAAGGGGTTATAACCCCGTTACTCTGTCTACAATGAAAACAAAATTGCTTACAGTTCTGCTTTAATTCTGCATATTCTACCAAAAACAAGAATATTGGTTTTGAGTGGACTATCCCTTACAAAATGGGAGGGGGTAGACAACATAAAGAGCTGCCCCATTCTTTATAAAAAACATCATTTCTACCCCCTTGACTCTATGGCATACAGAATGGCATGGAAACAGAAAACACAATTATTTATTAAAAAAAAAACAATATCTTAAACAGAAAACCCAGACTAAATGGGGACAGGCATGTACTTATTAACAGCAAACATCTCCATAAATAAATATATTTGTGAAAAGTGGACAGACAGGGACGGGCCTGTCCTAAAAAATTTACGAAAATCTGGCAGCCTTGGCTAGATATAGCGGATTCTTTTTGGGGAGATGTTCTCGTCACAACCATTGTCACAGGGTTCTATGGTTTGAATGGACGGATTTTATATGCTACTGATTTCCTCTGATTTGTAAGGGTGTTTGTGCTTGTTTGTGACTGTTGTATGTGTTTGGCTGTTTTTGTATGTTTCTGACTGCTTACCTGTAATGTTATTATGTTGTCTTGTGATTATCTTTTGTCATATGTATTGGGTTTTTGGCTACGATTTGTCTCTTCCTTGTTCTTTTTTTGTTTGCGTTTCATAAATGCCAAATAAACCCTTTTTAACCACTAGCCTACAGGGCACTTATACCCCCTTCCTGCCCAGACCAATTTCCAGCTTTCAGCGCTGTTGCACTTTGAATGAAAATTGCACGGTAATGCAACATTGTACCCATATGTAATTTTTATCATTTTTTTGTGACAGATAGAGCTTTCTTTTGGTGGTATTTAATCACCTCTGGGATTTTTATTTTTTCTTAAACAAACCAAAAACCACAGAAAATTTTGAAAAAAAAAAAGTTTTTTCTTAGTTTTTGTTACACAATTTTGTAAATAAGTGATTTTTCTCCTTCACTGATATGCACTAATGAGGCTGCAGTGATGGGCACTGATAGGCTGCACTGATGGACACTGATAGGTGGCACTGATGGGCATTGACAGGCATCACTGATGGGCACTGAAAGGCAGCACTGATACATGGCACTGATAGGCAGCACTGACTGGCACTGATAGGCAGCACTGACAGGCGGCACTGATTGGCAGCACTGATAGGTGGCACTCACTGGCACTGATGGGTGACACTGAAAGGCACCTCAGATGGGCACTGATATGTGGCATTGATGTGCACTGGTAGGCACTGATATGTGGCATTGATGGGCACTGGCACGAGGCACTGATGAGCACTGACACAAGGCACTAATGGACACTGACAGGTGGCGCTGCTGGGGCTACACTGATCATCAGGGCACACTGATCATCAGTGCCCTGATGATCAGTGTACATGTCCCCTCCGCGGAAAGCCGATTACCGGCTCTCCTCTCCACTCGAGTTGTCAGCATGACAGCTCGAGAGGAGAGAAATGCCGATAACCGGCATTTCCCTGTTTACATGTAATCAGCTGTGATTGGACACAGCTGATCACATGACCAAGCCGACATCTTCGGCTCTTTCGGTGATCCGCTGTGTCCGAGGGACACAGCGCACAGTGCACCGCTGATCGCCACGCGCTCCCTGAGCCGCACATGCGTGGTGAGAATTGGAGGACGTCATAGGACGTCCTCCCAGAACGAGAGAACCACCTCGCGTCCGTCATATTACTATATGGCGGGTGGGAGGTGGTTAAAAAAAAAAAAAAGTGGACAGACAGTCCTGTCTCTAGTTGTCTTGTGTCGTCTGTAAAAGCATTCTGTCGTGACTAAGCAAGGTGATTAATCTGTATTCATAATAAAAAAATGGACTCCACCAGAATAAATGAACACTGCAGAAACAATGTACCTGTACTCCTGGATTAATGGTATATATATAATGTGGATAGTGTCACAATCCTGATGACCAGGCAAAGACTGATGAATTAAATAGATGTCCATCTTTCCTTTGGGCTGTGTTCCAGTTTTTTTTCCCCATAAATGGTTTTACAAGAAGGACACTGCAGACTTCCATCCTGAAGATGACAAATTCACACATGACAGTTACTAAATATTAATCTGCCAATTACTAAGGTTTGGTTCACATCTATGCATCTTGCAATCTGCTGCAGGAAAAAAAAAAGTCCCTTACCTTTTCCAAAAATGCAGTGGCTGAAAACAGACCATGTCCCATAGGAAACGCAAAAAGCACTAAAAAACGCATAGGCGTGAACCAGGCCTTGCTCAACAATTTCTAAATGCAAGGGCCATGATTTTTGCTATTGGTATAGTATACTAGTTAAACATTCCATATATTGTATTTATTTTATATAATGTGGTTTGTATACAGAAGACTCTGTTGGAGCTGTTCTCAGCAATTTAGAATGTAAAGGAGATTTATGAATTCTGCTGCAATGCAAGGTGGTGCAATACAGGAGCAATGTTATACTAATGTTAGACCAATCTGATACAATCACAGCAAAATACATGAATTCTTTCCTTGGCTGTTGCTTAGAAATATTGAATATCACTAAAAAAAAAGTCCTCCTGCGATTATATGGAGTATACCTAAAATATATACCGGTATATTATAAAGCGGCTCACACTCAAAACTGAACCTCAATCAGTGAAATAACTAATTAATTAATAATATAGTGCAGTGCTAAATAAACCAACCTCATAACATATAAATAATATACTAAAATACTATATAAATACAGTGCAACAATGTGCTCCAATAAAAGTGTTCAAATCCTGTGTGACCTGAGATCCTGATGGATTTTCAGAACCTATGCCTTATATAACAATCAATATGTGTAATATATAATAAGTCAACCCCTCAAACAAATATATAAAGTGACCAGTGCAAAAACGTGACCAAACTGATTCAGATGCAAAAATATATATATATATAAAAAAAAATATATATATATATATTTTTATATTTTGCATCTGAATCAGTTTGGTCACATTTTTGCACTGGTCATCTTAAGTGGGGTTTATTTATATATTTGTTTGAGGGGTTGATTTATATATATACCGTATTTGCCGGCGTATAAGACGACTTTTTACCCCTTGAAAATCTTCTCAAAAGTCGGGGGTCGTCTTATACGCCGGTATACGGCATACTGACACTTTTTAGGGGGGCGGTGCGTTGCCGCCGCCGCCCCCCCCCCTTCCCCCAATGGAAGGGACACTAAGTACAGGCGGCTGTTTCTTACCTGGTTCCGGTCCCACGACGATCCGGTCCAGGAAGCGCGGCTGCGCCTTCAGTTCGACCACTGGATGTTCGTGCGGCTGCTCGGCTCCGCCTCCTCACCAGTGATTGGCCGCCAGAACTGTAGCTCAGGAAAGGCACACAGGCGGCCAATCACCGGCGAGGGGGTGGAGCCGAGCGCCCCCGCGAAAATCGAGTGCAGGACCAGCAGGTAAGTGGTCAGTGTAGAGGTGCTGCTGCAACCACATATGCTGGCTGCAGCAGCACCATACGAGAACAGGGTCAGCAAGTGTCAGTGGGAGGAATAGTGCCCCATCATTGGTGTCACTGATACCAATGATGGAGCACTATTCCTCCCACTGACACCAACGATGGGGCACTATTCCTCCCACTGACACCAACGATGGGGCACTATTCCTCCCCCCCACTGACACCAACGATGGGGCACTATTCCTCCCCCCCATTGACACCAACGATGGGGCACTATTCCTCCCCCCCACTGACACCAACGATGGGGCACTATTCCTCCCCCCCACTGACATCAACGATGGGGCACTATTCCCCCCCCCACTGACACCAATGATGGGGCACTATTCCACCCCCCACTGACACCAATGATGGGACACCATTCCTCCCACTGACACCAATGTTGGGACACCATTCCTCCCACTGACACCAATGATGGGGCACTATTCCCCCCACTGATACCAATGATGGGGCACTATTCCCCCCACTGATACTAATGATGGGGCACTATTCCTGCCACTGATACCAATGATGGGGCACTATTCCCCCCACTGATACTAATGATGGGGCACTATTCCTCCCACTGACACCAATGATGGGGCACTATTCCTCCCACTGATACTAATGATGGGGCACTATTCCTCCCACTAATGCCAATGATGGGGCACTATTCCTGCCACTGATACCAATGATGGGGCACTATTCCTCCCACTGATACCAATGATGGGGCACTATTCCTGCCACTGATACCAATGATGGGGCACTATTCCTCCCACTGATACCAATGATGGGGCACTATTCCTGCCACTGATACCAATGATGGGGCACTATTCCTCCCACTGACATCAATGATGGGGCACTATTCCTGCCACTGATACCAATGATGGGGCACTATTCCTGCCACTGGTGTGCATTGGAAGAGGGGTAGTCTTATACGGCGAGTATAGCTCAAACACTAAATTTTAGCAGGAAAAGTAGGGGGGTCGTCTTATACGCCCAGTCGTCTTATACGCCGGCAAATACGGTATATATGTATGTATATTTTGCATCTGAATCAGCTTGGTCACATTTTTGCACTGGTCACTTTATATATTTGTTTGAGGGGTTGATTTATTATATATTACACATGATTGTTATATAAGGCATAGGTTCTGAAAATCCATCAGGATCTCAGGTCACACAGGATTTGAACACTTTTATTGGAGCACATTGTTGCACTGTATTTATATAGTATTTCAGTATATTATTTATATGTTATGAGGTTGGTTTATTTAGCGCTGCACTATATTATTAATTGAATATCACTACCCTTTTCTACACTTTAACTGTGATTTTTTTTTCTTTTGTTACGTGCAACATCATGCACAAAGCATACGCCCAACTGTGTCAGTAACTTGTTTGATAGATCTCCCTTAGGAGCTAACTCAGTCAACCAATTAAAAAAAGAAAAAAAAAAGTTATGTAACTATATGTGCTGACACGATCAACAGAATAACAAAAAATGCATTTTTACAATAAGTATCAGCATCAGAAAAAAAAAATCCTTGTCTTTGTACTTGTGAAAAGCAGTTTGTTCTTTGCAAGCAGAGCTGACGACATACAGAACAATGCTTTCTGTTTAGAAATTAACATAATGCTGTACTTTGCCTGATATAAAAAGCATGCAGACATTACATAGTAGGCACTGTTTTCCCTGAGCATTGGAGATTCTTACCTGACAGAGTAACAATTCCCCTTTAGAAGAGAACATCTCCCATGCAAATACCCAAAGCTACCTATTGTTGTACTGACAGAATGTCACTGCATCTGAAGGTTTTGTAGAATTATTTTGTAGCAAGCAGTTGAAGCAATAAAAAACTACTTGCTTTGCTGATCTCAATTTGCTTTAACCACTTCCAGTCCGGACACTTTCACCCCCTTCCTGTCCAGGCCAATTTTCAGCTTTCAGTGCTATCACACTTTGAATGACAATTGCGCGGTCATGCAACTCTGTACCCATACCCCTTTTTTTTTTTGAGACAGATAAAACTTTATTTTGGTGGTATTTATTCACCACTGGTATTTTTTTTTTCTATACAAATGAAAACGTCCAAACATTTTGGAAAAAAAAGTGTTTTTTCTTATAAAATTTTGCAAATAAATAACACAGGTCTGCAAAAACATTTTTTCAAGAGCTGTTTTGGTTATTCCACGTAATCTTTATGTTTTTTGGTGCGCTGAATCCGAAAATAACCTCCATTTTGTCATAGGACATCACGTTTTCTGACAATTTAAGTAGCTATGTTAAATAAGGCAATACCTCAAAATAAATGGAAATAGACTTATAAAATTAAAGTTTTATTACAATTTTTTCATGAAAATCCTTTTTTGAACTGAAATGAGCTCACCTACACACACTAAACTTGATTATTCTTCCCTGTGAGGCTCCTCTTGGTGCATTTACGCTTGTGAGTAGCATCTGGAATGTGTCTTTGAAGCATCCAACAGTAGTCTGCCATCATTGTAATGCTCCATTTTCCGTGGTATCTCCTTTCCATCTCTTTAATGACTTGGTAGAATCGTTCACCTTGTTCCTCACTCGCAGCTCCTAAATTTTCAGGAAAATAGTCAAGGTGGGATTGGAGGAAATGCACTTTCAAACTCATCAGGCAACCTAAAGCTTGAAATGCTTTTAGCATTCGTCCGACGATCTTTTTGTAGTGAGGATCTTTGTTATTGCCTAACAATTTCTGTACGACTTCTTTAAATGCAATCCATCCTTCTTTTTGAGGATCCATCCATGGTATTGACAAACTCTTGATCAACTATAAGCCTTCTAATGTCTGGTCCAACGAACACACATTCCTTCAATTTTGCCTCCGACAGGCCTGGAAATTTGGTGACCAAGTATTTGAAGCATTCTCCATGATTTTACGAATTGCTTCATCAATCCCAATTTTATGTGGAGAGGTGGTAGAAGAACTTTATGGGAAGGTACCAAAGTTTCTCGGAGGACATTTTTTTCACCGACTGTTAGCACCCTCGACTGCCAACTCTTCTTGGTCCAGTGATTTTGTTGGTTTCGACTGTCCCATAGACACAGAAAACAGGGGTATTTGGTATCCCACCCACTGGATTCTTCAGGAAAGATTAACCCCTTCTATCATTAGAAGCACAGACTCAGGGCTGAGGCTTACACATACAACATGCTGCTGAGTATCCCAGTAGTCAGACATGTCACTCAGAGCAGCACTTGTATTCACCCCCTTTGCAGGGGGGGCAGAGATTGTTTACCTGCAAATAACAAAGGGCCAGAAGAGAACTAGGGAAATGAGGAAATAGAATTTTTTTTCCCTAAAACTTGCTTAGCTTATGTATATATTGCTGACCATCAGATTTACAGTGCTATATTTTTTTTTACATAACTCGGACAACCCCTTTAAGGTTTTTATGGCATTTTATATCTTAAATGCACTTATATGAATTAATTAATAGTAATTTGGACTTTAAATTTGGTTAAAAACCCATAATATAAAAAAAATACCACAAATTTGATAAATTTGAAGACAATTTTGCATTTTGTGGCAAATCATGACGTCTAGGAGTTTTTTCAATATTTTGTTTTCAGCACACCAAAATACATGGAAATTAGATGAAAATAATCAAACAGCTTTTTAGTCACAGACTTGTGTAATCTTTCTTCATAAATCTTGGCCAAAATGTATTCAGCTATCTTTTTAGTAAAAAAAAAAAAAAAAAATTAGTTTATAACCAAAAATTATAATTTTCTTACATTTTTATTTTTTTGTATTATTATTTTTTTTAAACATACTGTCACCCTAGCGACACTGTACTACTTGTGGGGGGAGTGATGAAGATTTTCACCCATAAAGGTTGTAAAAGCAATAATTTCTCCTTGTACCATGTGACCTCTGTGATCATTCACAGATTTCACACGTAGTAAGCAATGATGTCAGAAGTGACATCTTGCTTACTACTATTCATGTGATCACTGATTGGCCAATCAGTGATCACATGATCGGAACCTCGCACAGAGGTACCGTACAGCGTTCGCTGTGCCGCACGCTCCCAGGGAGCGCGAACAGGCAGGGAAGCGGGGAGGACGTTTATAAAACGGCCACCAGCCACTGCACTGCTCCAGTCCGGATGTTTATATACATGGGGCGGATGGGAAGTGGTTAAAGTGGTTGTAAACCTCAGGCATAAAATATGAACAAAGCATTCCCTCTATAGTGTGTGCTTGTCCCAATCCAGAGTATTAAGTGTCATTTCTGTCTTCTGCCTTAAGCATGAGTCACTTCTGATGAGTTTTCTTGACCCCAAGAGAAAAATGGTGACAGGAAAGAGCACAGTCTGTGATTGACAAAAACTGGCTCTTTGTTTAGAAAGTTTGGATATGCCCGCTCTAGAGAAAACATGTAAATTGAGGATTGTTGTTAAATCAACAAAATGAGCATTTTAAATCAGCTAACTTGTGCCAAAACCTAATTACCCTCTTTGCGCGCGCACATGCACACAAATGCACACACATCACACATGACACAAGAAAACAATGTTATCTGAAAGAATTACATGTAATACTCTACCATAGGCATGTATAACTATCCAAATTTCTATCATTTTGCTGTGCAGCCTATTGATCTGAGTCTATACACTGTTGCCATCTGCCAGCTATACGTTTTTATCAGGCTTGCAGGGGCAGGTCCTGCTTAGTAAGTTAATGAGCAGAATAGGTTTACAGGCAGGCGGCAACTTTGAGGTAGGTACCACTAGTGTACTGACACAGTTAGGAGCAGGCTGGATCCATGGTAGTTACATACAGTATACATAATCCAAAGTGGCCTTGTAAGTAAACACCAATCACAGGAACACGGCTGTTAGATATTAAAGTGTTATTAAACCCACAACAGTAAAATCAGTCTGTATATGCAGTAAAGCATGCTTGTTATACTCACTGTGGAACCTAAGGGGTTAATCCTCTGCATTGTGTGAGAAGGCTGTTTGATCCTGCCTTCTATGACCCTCCCCTTCTTCTGCTGTCCCCAATCCATCTACTGATAGCACAGAGCTCTTAGGAGTCATTCTGCACATGCTCAGTTTGATGTGTATTGCTAGAGGTTTTTTTTTTTCTTTGGGAGAGTGCATGTGATTAGCACAGGGCCAATCAGCACTGTCCAGACAAAGGGTCAGGGGTCATAGCCTCATAGGACAGTCAGAGCAGAATGAAAACTACTCCTACAAGCTTTAACCAGTGCTCAGCAGGACACTGATAGAAGTCACAAAACCGCTATACACAGCTGATGAGAAAAGGTATTTAGCAGTTTATATTTACTAAAATAATTGCATTTCCATGTTCTACGTACTGTGGGAGACCAGATATAGTGAATGCAGGGTCCTGGGTTTAGTAACACTTTAAGAAACAGATCTACAATTCCTTTATGCAGAAACTCTTCAAACCTGTTTTTCAGGAACCATTATTTAGACAATAGCTTAAATGATGGCACACAGAAGTGGAAAACAAAGGAATAGAGAAATGTGCAGGCCTTTATAGAAAATAATAGCCAATACCTTGTTCCCATTGCTATACATTTCAAACATACAGAGCTGGTGAAAAATATGGGCACACTTTTTCAGCTTCCCAACAGCAGTAGGCTTGATGGATTTGCTTTCCGAAGTTTCGCTGTATCCAGAAGGAGTAGTCAATGTCTCCATGCAAATGATACAGTCCTTAAAAATAAGAAAAGAAAAGGTTGCATACAACATATAATAACATTCTCTACACCATGCATATCTTTTTATGGTATGAAGAGTGCAATCATACTTCTTCTGGAGGTTTCTCAATGGTTTCCAAGTATTTCTTCACAACTTGTTCTGGGTCAGTCACTCCTGAAAGAAACACATTACAGTCCTGTAAGGTTAAAAACACAAGGTTAGAGCAAAATATATGTACTTCAATGTACAGTCATTTGAAAAGTAAGTACATCCCATGGCAACTGTTGACTTTTTTTCAACATACCCAAATAAGCCAACATTAGATCTGTGTTCAAAAAGTACCTATAGATAGAAGGAATACACTTGAACAAAAAATACATAAAATTGACATGGTGTATTCATTCTCCAAATTTAAAATGTTCCTTGGAGAGCACAGAGGTAGACTCTGTCCTATTTAAACCTCAGACATCTAGGGTCTGGTGTTCTCAGTCCTCGGGGTTGTTGACCTGAGATGTCTTTTATCCAAATCAAAAGATCTTGTGAAGGCCCTCAGAAAAAAAAGGTTGTGGATGCCTAGGAGTGTGGAAATGGATTTAATAAGGATTGTCAAATGATGTGAAATCAATCACTCCACTGGAAGGAAAATAACCTACAAGTGGTATAGATTTCAAATGACTGCTAAATTTATTCAGAACTTAGAAGCTTACCATTTGACGCTGAAAGGGATCACCCAATTTAACCTGCATACAAGGTGTGCTAAAATAAAAAAAACAAAACAAAAACAAAACAGAATTTTGTCTTACCTGTACATTATGCAGGCAACATATTCATATACTGTGGTTACAGGTGTGTACCTTCAGATGACTAAACACCGGCAGGCTTATGAAGAATGCCCCCCCTGTGACTCCTTTCCTATAACCCTATTCCACTCCATGAATCCTTTTTTTGTGGCAAGCAATGCAGAATAAACCAAGGAAAGGGAGGGAGATTGGGCCATGTCCTGTAATGTACTTAAAGATACGGAATTTACAGGTAAATCAAAATTCCTTTTATCTTAATCTTACAGTACAGTACACCTGGGATGTCCCCAAGCAATGAATATGAAGGGTGGGTAATAAACAAAAATAACTGTGCCAACCGGATCAAAAACCAGCAGGGGTCAAAAGACTCATGCTTAAAATGCCACTGTGACAATCTTGCAGCCAAAAGCTGCATCTGCAGAAGACTGGAAGCACACCTGCTAAAACTTCCAGAAAACAAGCACAGAAGATCTGAAGGTGGCCTTACACAGTTGGGCTACAGAGACTTTCTGTTGTAATGCCTGGGAAACCTCCACCAATCTGATGAAATGTACGTGAAACAGCAAAGGAGGTTTTGGCTGAAGAGCAAAAGCTCTTGCAATCATGTTCCTTATCCATTGTGCATTGGTGGATTTTAAAGCTGGGTGCCCCTTGCAAGGTCCCGAGGAGAGAACAAACAGGGATTCGGTTTGTCTGATAGAAGCAATAATTTTGAGATATTCTCTAATGAATGACCACGTCCAGGCAGTGTAGAGACTGTTCCTTTGAATGCTTAGAAGGAGGGCACAAGGAGGATACAATGTCTTCACTGAAGTGAAGAAAAAATGCTCTTGGGCGTAAGACAAACGTGTTGTGAAGTATGATGAAAGGCTCTTTGTAGGAAGGGCCACCAGTTCAGAAACACATCTGACAGATGTGATAGCTACAAAAACGGCTACTTTGCCAGCAGGGAGTCCCTGGGGAATACCCCTAATGAGTTCAAAAGGTGGTTTATGAAAGACAGCAAGAACCAAATTATGGTTCCAGGAAAGCACAGGATTCTGCAAGGGGGCCTGATACAAGAAACACCTTGAATAAAGGGTTTGGTTTTTTTTCGTTTACGAGACTGTGAATCCAGAGGAATGATGGTTATGGCCAAAACCCAACCTTTAAGGTTTGCTTAGAGACAAGTTCTGGTCAAAACCTGTTTGCAGGAAGACCAGAATGCAGGGCACAAAGTAATTTTTGGGACTCATTTTACTGTGTTTACACCAGGCAAAATAAGATTTCCAGGCATGATAATGGCTTTTCTTGCTTTCAACAAGGTAGAAATCACAGACTCCTTGACCTTTAATATCTGGGTTTCAACAGCCATGTTGCTAAAGACAGAGACTTAGAAGCAGGATGGAATAGAGGACCTTGCGATAGCAGATCTGGCCTGTTTGGATGGGGCCAGGGGTTGGATGCTAGAGGTCTGTCTGGGTACCAGGTTCTTATGGGCCAGTTTAGCGCAAATAAAATCACCACTTTTCTCTTTTGCTCTATTTAATGGAGTAGGCAAGGCAGAATTTCCAATGGAAGGAAACCATAAATAAGCTTGAAATAAGAGATTATTAGAGCATCCAAGGCCAGGGGTAGAGGTAGCTTTTTGGTGAATCTTGAGACTAAGTTATCTACATCCAGAATCACCCATATATGGCATATCCTATTCAACTCATCTGGTTGAAGAAAATAGTCCCCTTGGTTCATGTGGTGGTGGCTGAGATAATCTGTCTCGCAGTTGTCTATTCCTGGGATGTGGACTGCAGAAAATAGCTGGACAGTAAGAGTATGGCTACAAGAGAATCTGGTTTCCTTCCTTCAAGGCAGCCAGGCTCCTCAAGCTCCCATGATGGTTGATATATGCTGCTGTGGTGGCACTGTCAGACTGCACCTGGATTGGTGTCCCTTCAGAAAGAGAGTCCAGTGTTGCAAGGAAAACCTGACTGCTCTGAGCTCCAGGACGCTGATGGAGAACTTGGTTTCCTCTCTTGACCATGTTCCTTGAACTGTCAAGGACTGGAACACTACTCCCCAGCCTGATAAAATTTGCATCTGTTGAAAGGACTTTTGTAGAGGAAGTAGGACTTCTCCCTTGTTAGGGCTGGGGTGGTAATCCACCAAAACAAGGACGTTCTTACTTGGCTGGATAGGAGCATGTGTAAGTTGAGTGAATAATCCTGCCTTTTACAAGCTGACAAAATGTTTTGTTAGAGAGTTCTTGACTGAAATTGGGAAAAAGGCATTGCCTCAAAGGAGGCGATCATTACCCTATAACTCTTATAAAGAATCTCACTTTAGGATTTCTCTTCAATCTCAGTTCTCGAGCATGATTTTATAGAAAAGGAGTTTCTAAGAAGAAAGACTTTCGTTTAGGATGTGGCCAGAGCTAGACCCAAATATTGCAGGTGAAGAGAAGGAATTTTTTTTTTTTAATTGAGTATCCAGCTGAAAGCCTGGAGCAGTTGAATTGTTCTGTGAACATTTTCTGACAACTGACTGGGAGATGAGCAGGGCCAGCACAGGCGCCAAGACCTTTGTGAACATTCTGGGAACAGAGGATAGGCTGAAGGGAAGTGCAACAAACTGGAAGTGATTTTCTGCCACTGTGAAATAGAGAAAGCGGTGATGGGGTGGGTAAATGGGAACATTCTGATAGGCATCTTGGATATTCCCTGATGTCAGGTATTCTTCTCTCAGAGAGGAAAATTACTGACCTTGTAAAGAGGCATTTTAAAGAGTAAAGAGGGGAAGGTTTTCTGGCTTTTTGTGGGCCAAGGCTTTGAAGTTGAAGCCAGGGTAGAATGGACAGGTGCTCAGCGTTTTGAGGAGACAGGGGCTCCTGAGGAAGAGGTTTTTTGGAATCTTCCTTTGTGCAAGTAAAACCTTTCCTTCCATTGACCTCTTTTGGCACCTCACCAAATGGATGCCTTCCTTGCAAGTGTATACTTCTGAGGCACCGTTTGCAGGCAGCTTCATCTGCCCAAGCTTTAAACCAACAGATTCTGCAAATGTGAATGAATATTAGAGCCATTCTGCAAATCTGTCTCATGTTCTAGGGCATCCACACAAAAAAGGCAACTGCTGTAACAGCATGATCCTGAAACACAGAGTCATGTTAAACATTCATTGTCCAAGTCTAGTGAGCTGCAGTTTGACATACTGAAGTGGCAGCAAGAGCCGAAATGCAGGGCATGGCCTGCAAGAGCAAAGAAAGCCCAAAATCTAAAATCCCAAACTTTCTATCTGCAGAATCTTTAAAAGAAGGAACATCTTCAATATGTACAGTCAAATGTTTGTGTATAACAGAGACAGCAAGATCTACTACAGGAATAGATCACTTCTTTGCAAACCCATTTTGCTCCTGGATAGACTTTGGGGGGAATGAAAATCCATGCTGGTGTTACCCAGTCCTCATTGACTGCATATTCTATCTGTTCTTGAGGGAATGTTTTGAAGAATTTAGTGGGTTTCTTTACACCCAAAGGTGTATGGCTAGACAGAGAGTGCCAGACTGCACAATGCCAAGGCTCTTGTGGACAGAGGCAATGAGCTCTTTTCAACATTAGCAAGCTTGTGATGTGAAGCTCTCTTGCCATTAAAACAGTAGTCTTGGGAATAAAAAAAACTTCTGAAGCTTCCTGCAATACTAACCCAATATCATCTTTCCCTTCTGTGTCTGCGTCCTCTAGGACTACCATTATCAGGATCCAACTCAGATTTTAAAATGGAAATAGGAGAAGCAGGGCCTTTCTGAGCCATCAAGGATGGTTGTGCTAAGGTCATAATCTAAGGAATTGTAACATAGATGTGGAAATGCTGCTTTTGTCAGGTAGGCTGCATGGTATGTACCTGAAATAGAACTAGAATTGGATGCAGACGTCGGTGTTGGAACTGGGTCCTGCTGCAATGCAAGGGATACAATCTGAGACTGAATGTTGAGTTTGCTTTGGCAGAGCAAACTGGTTCCCTTTCACCTGGTCTCCGCCATAGTTATAAGTAAGGGTATTCCCCTTGGGGGTACTCATGGAGTAGAGTTCATGAAATACGGTAAGTGTGCCTAGGAGGAGTACATAGCAACTCAGGTGTAGAGCATCCTGTAACAAATCTTTGTGGCAAAGGGATGGGAGGAAATCTCTAGGCCGAAGTGGCATTAAAGTGTGTGACCAGCAGTGGGATGCAACACCTGGTTATTAACCTGAGGCTGAGTGATTTAAATTTTAGTGGCAAGTTTGAAAAGTATATATCTTGAAGTGAAACTAATCCGATGTATGCTGGGTCTGATATTTCCACTTCTGAATCTGGTGTTTTTGTGTCTGGAGCAGGGCAGCAAATGATTATGTACTTTCTGTTCAT